GGTCAGATAACCTCACACCTGACCAGGGAACCAGACATCTCTCCCAAATCCTCCCAAGCCCATTGCTGTCGACTCTGACTCATGGTGACACCATGTGTTACAGAGTCAAACTGCTCCAGGTGATCTTCTTGGTTGTGGTGATGGCGAAGAAAACTGACTGCCAGAAGAACTAACAAATCTGTCCTGCAGGAAGTGCAGCCAGAATGCTCCTCAGAAGCAAGAATGGCCAGACTTCATCTCAGCTACTTGGTCATGTTATCAGGAGAGACCATTCCCTGGAGGATACCATGCTTGGTAAAGTGGAAGGTCAGCAAAAAAGGGGAAGGCCCTCAATGAGATGGACTGACAAAGTAGCTGCAACAATGAGCTCAAGCAGAGCAATGATTGTGCAGCTGGCACAGGACCAGGCAGTGTTTCGGAGCTGACACAATGGCACCTAACAACAGCAATCTTTTTAGAAGCAGATCAACAGGTCTTTCTTCCACAGTGCCACTGGATGGGTTCAAACTGCCAGCCTTTACACTAGTCACTGAGTGCAAATGTTTGCACCACCCATGGGCCTTTGCATCTGGACAGAGACAGAGAAATCCACACAAAGACGTTTGTGGAGTTACCTTGTCTCTGGGAATGGAGTGCCAGGAGAGGTTAATAAAAAGGTCATAGTCGGAGGGAAGCACAGAACAGGGATCCTTGTCCAGCACCACGCTAAAGGCTTCCCAGATGGCTGTGCAGTTCTTGTCTCTGTGCAAAAACACAAGTTAGAAAAGAAGAAGAATCGACATCATGATCCACGGTGAAGTATTTCCACATCTCTCAAAGAGCTCCAAGGGCTTAAAAAGCAATTGTTATATATTGATTTTGCAGAACAACCCCCCAAAAATCCATTGCCATCAAGTCAATTCCAACTATAGCGACCTTATAGGACAGAATAGAACTGCCCTGTTGGGTTTCCTAGTTGTGATCTCTACAGAAGCAGACTGCCACATCTTTCTCCCCAGAACAGCCGGTGGACTTGAACAGCCACAGAGCCTTGTAATTAACCATGGCACCACCAGAGCTGGGCTCTGCAGTACTAGGTGTATAAAAAAGAAACCAATTGTCACAGCTCGTGCATTAACCCAAATT